TTTTAAATTACCTCTGCTTCCTTCTGAGGGGAAAGCACAGTGTCCCATGAGGGTTATGACTTATCGGCAGACTTATCTGTTCATTCACTTAACCAGGGCTTTTTCTTTTTCTTTCTGCATTTCTCTTTTTGTCTCTGTCTCCATCTGTCTGTCTGTCTCTCTTTCTTACCTATTATGTTCCGAGGTCTTTTGTAAATACTGGGATAACAGTCAATAGCACATAATGTCTGTCCTCAAGGAGCTTGCAGTTTGTACTCTACTCCATGGTTACATTTCCAGGTCAGGTCAGTTGAATGGTGGGAAGTGCTAATTCATCCCTTTGTTAATTTAATTTTGATTTTTGTCAAGCATGACTTGCTAGGAATTTGGACTGGAAGGCATTGTACCCGCATGGTAAACTGCTCTTACAGAATTTACAACCTAGTGGGAAGGGAAAGACACATTTTGGTCAATTAGTCATACTAGTAAAAGTATAATTACAAATTAGAATAAATTCTATGAAGGAAAATGATACAGATACATGAGTATATATAAATAAGGAATCCAACCCCGATGTTGGAGGGGCTTAGTAATGAGGTAACTAGATAAAGGGTTGGGAAGGGAAAGGGATGCCCTGGCAAAAAATATATTCTAAGAAGTACTATGCCAATATCTGAGGAATACCCAAGAATGAAAGAATGATTGGACATGCCATATGGTTTTGTGAGGACAAGTCGGAAGAGGAACAAAGATCATTCGTTGGATTTGACCTCATGGATGCAATTGGTGACTGGAACAGTTTCTCTATCTACAGTGATGGTGGCTGAATATTGACTGGAGTGGTCTGAGGATTAAATAGAAAGGGAAGAAGGCAATAAACAGTGTAAATAAATCCTTCAATAAGTAAGGTCACGAAGAAAAGATAAGAGGTGGTTGGAGAGTGAATATATTTTTTGTTATACATGGCAGAGGCCGCATTGTATTTAAAGATAGGATACAGTTTTCAGGGCATTGTTGAAAATACCACAGAGAGAAGGAAAAATTATAGTAAGTTTCCTTCCCAGTGGAAGGCAAGGGGGGAAATGAGGCCAAGAGCACTATGAAAGGATTGGCCTTGGAAAGAAAACAGAGGTAAACAAGATGGCTATGGATATAAGCAGGTTTGGTGGAAAAAGGTAAAGGTGGAAGTTGTTCCCATTTGACTGCTTTGGTTTTCTCTGAAAAGCTGGAGCTCTGCCTATCTGGAAAGAGAGGGAGGTGAAGGAGGAGACGGCTGGAGGTTTGGAGAAAGGACAAGGTTTGAAATAGTCATTATAAGGGGTAGGATGATACTGGAGTGAAAGGTCCAGGAGGATCGAGGGACAGTGTGGAGCCCATTGAGGTTGGAGAGATGATCCTATGGCACCACTTATCTGTCCTGTTTTGTGGCTCTCACCTGCAAAGTTTGGTGCTTATGTAGGGCAGAAGCAGATAACTGAGTTTGTTTTGAGTTGGAATGTGAAGAAAAGACCAAGAGGCGAGGACGTGGAGGGTACTGGGAAGTATTCTGGAAATGTACGCTGGAAAAGTATGCTGGACAGAAAGGGACAGGAGCAAAAGAGAGGGCTGAAGAAGGAACTGGGAGGTAGTGAGCAGTAAGTGAAGTAGAAGTGTCCTGGAGATGAACAGGTAGACTGGTCTGTCTCAGAATCGTGTAGTCTGGTGTTCCAGTGGAATGCTTCTGAGAGGTCTTACCAGTGATACCAAAACACATCTCCTGCTGCAAGTCCCAGATGAAAAGGCTTGTGGCCCAGAGCAGAGGCTCTGGCAATACTGAGGCCAGTGTGAGAAGAAGAGCCAACGGTGGTGGCAGGGGTCTTCAGATAGTCTGTGTGGATTCCAATACCTGAGGAATGTGGCAGTTCTCAGTCCTTGTGTTACAGTGAGGTTAGTAAGATGTTAAGCAAAGACATCTGTTTTAAAACACCCCCCCTGTGTTTTATGCAGTATCAAGGAAACCTGATCTTCAGTGGATAATGATTCCCTCAATTATTTCTTATACTATGAGTAATATTGGTTGGAAATAGTTTAAGAATTTATAGATTTTTGGGTGCCTGGGTGGCTCAGTTGGTTGAGGGACTGACTGCCTTTGGCTCGGGTCATGATCCTGGAGTCCTGGGATCAAGTCCCACATCGGTCTCCCTGCTCAGTGGGGAGTCTGCTTTCCCTCTGACTCTCTCACTCTCTCTCTCTCAATTAAATAAAAAAAATCTTTTAAAAAAAGAACGTATAGATTTTTAAATGGCAGAAGTCAACAAAATCAGACTATTTGTTAACATTGGAGTTTGGTGTCAAGGATCTGGAGTTGAACCTCTGGTATGGAGATGTTCTACGGAAGTGCCATCTTCACACACAGAACTAATAATATTTGCCTTCTCTTGTGTGGCTTTCCAAACACCAGTTTTGTTCTCTGGTAGCTGGAGTGCCTCTCTGGCAATGGAAGCCTTCATCACCTTGTGGGTGGTTTACAGCAGCATCGTCTTAGCTGGTCTCCCTCCTTTTGGGCTAACTACCCTCTTTTTACCTTATACTTAACTGCCTCATTAATTTAAATTCCTGTTTCCTTCTGTTACCTCGTTGTTCAAGGAATAGAAGCTCCCCTTCTTTTTCTCTTTTCCTTTTTTATTTTGTCACAAGGAGGTGAGAACAAATGCATAGACCTCTTAAATGAGACACTGGACAAGTCACTTAACTTTTCTGGGACTTAGTTTGTTTACCTATTTAAAAATAAAAATGTGCCTTTTGAGCTAGACAACCAAGCTCTTTGGGATTGGGATATGCAGTTGGGCTAGAGTTCTCTTCCAGTGCCCAAAATTCTGTTCCTGTGTGCCCCTCCAGGTCTGGCTCCAATCCCGATAGTACAGCCATTGAGAGTACAGCTCTACCTATCTGGAGGACTGTTTAAAGATTTAATTCAGCTAATGCTGCCTGGTATACCAATGCGGCTTCCCTTTTATCTTCTACCCTGGTGCTTTTCTTTCTCCCACCCCATCATGTTAGGACCACCACCCCACCAAGCAAAGTGCCTTGCCTTTTTCTGCTTAACCTGTGGCTCAAACATCCTAGCAAGACAAGCCATTTGCAATCCTCCACAGAACACTTTCCTGTCTCCAGCCTCTGTGGCCTTTGTTCCTTTTTGTGTTTGGTATCTTGTCTTTAAATATCTTACCCTTTCCTCTCTACCAACTGAGGCTGAAAACCTGGCCTATAATCCTTAAGACAAATTTCAAGGTCTTGAACTTCAAGCTTTGACTTTCTGGCATTCTAAGTTCAAAGAGGGATTTTATTTTTTCTTTTTCACCTCTGATTTTCTTGAGAACTCAGATAATACACAGATAATGAGTAAATAGGTGAATTCTGAGAAGCAGCTCCTTGACTCTTTACCAGTTTAAAAAAAAAAAAAAAATCACCCTATTCTGGACACAAACCCTCATGCTGACACATGTTCAACATTCACTTCCTATAGGCATTTCTACCCTGACTATGCCTCTTGTGGTCAGCAGGCAGTTTGCGTCCAGTCTGTTCATGCAATTAAAATGCGCAAGATCCAAATCTGTCTAGGTCACTTATGGGCTAGGGTGCTTAAGCCCAGCGCTTGGCTTTAAGAATACGTGGCCTGAATGAATGGTTGCTAGGGAGTATGGCGGCGTCTTCATTTTATGCTGGGCTCATCCCAACGCGCGCACGTGGGAACTTCACAAAAGTTGTTTCACGAGCGTTGCGCTGAATCCTCTTATCGTAGAGTTTACTGAAGTGGGGCCAGCTCCCCGCCTCTGTAAGCTTCACTGCCAAGGTTCCGGAGGGGTGGAGTGGCCTGCAAGACGGTTGGGAGAAGGGTGGGGGATTTACTTTCTCATAAATATGCTTTGGGAGACTGGCTCTGGAGCGCTAGGTTTTCAGGAAGAAATGAACCTGGGTCCCAATGGCAATGAGCTCCAAAGGGCACGCAGTTTGCTTTCTGTTACAGAGAAAGCCTGAAAGCCTCCACCCTAATTAATAAGAACACGACCCGCAGTGGACAAGGGAGTGAGTGCTCTGGCTTGCCCCAGAAAACCACTGGCACAAGAAGACAAGCGAAGTCAGCTTCACTGAACCCATTTCTTGGGCTCCTTATGGGTGATGCTGGCTCTTGGTTCACTGCGTCCCATCCCAGCTGTGGTGGGGCCTGGGCGCTCTCGAGCGAAGTCCTCTTCCCCCAGACCCAGGTTGCAAAACAGTAACTCCACGGGAGCATCTCTCTGCGTACCCAGAGGATGGGTCTCCACGGACAACACACCATTACGTTTAGTGCTGCGCATTGTGTGGGGTAGAGTTTCTTAATCATCGCCCCCACTTCCCCCGTCCCTTGAGGGCCTTGCGTGGTTTCCAGGGCGGCTGCAGCGCGCCAAGCTCCAGGGACAGCGCGCAGGGAATGGCCCCGGGGACTCATTCCGGGGAAAGCGCCAGCGTCCGGGGAGAGCCTCTCCCTCTCATCCAGTATTCTCCCGGGGCAGGCAGGGTCGGATTCCACACGCGTCCAAGGTGTGCAGTGCGAGACCCTCCCTTTAAAAAGAATAAATAAATAGAAGCCAGCGCTTAGCCCCGCTCCGGTTTCCCGAAAGACGCACGCAGTCGCTGCCGGGGCGGCTGGGTGTCTGCGCTGACACAGGAGGGGAGGAGCAGGAGCCGGAGGGGGTGCCGGCGAGGGGGGGGATTTGGAGCGCGAACCATCCCGAGCCAAGACAAGCAGCACATTCACAAATAACGCCCCCGCCCCCAGCGCACGCGCTCCCATTCAAAGCAGCCGGGCTCGGCGGCCGCAGGGCGGCTCAGAGGACGCGCGGCGGAGCGCAGCGCAGCCCAGCCCAGCCCCACAGGCGCACGCCCCAGTCCGCCCGCCGGCTGCTGTGGCCACTGCCGAGCCCTGCAGCCCGCGCGGGAGGCGGCTGCCGCTTCCAGGGAGGGGTCTCGCCCGGACTCCCCTCCCTCCCCGCCGGGGGACCATGGCACGGCCGGCTGCGCCCTGGCACTCGAGGCTCCTGGCTCGCATCCTCGGCGGCACCTGGTGCCTGCTCTACGTCGCCGGACAGGTGAGGCGGTCTGCGCGTCGGGCGTCCCTCCCCACCCTCCTAAGACTTTTCTTCTGGTAGGCTAAAGCGGGGAGAGCTGTAGCCGGGGCCTGTCCTGGGGCTGTGCTGCCACCCCAGCGAGGACAGGTGGCACGGGTTAGGGCTAAGGCGGCCTCTCGTGGCGAGCTCCGGGCTGCCGGGGTCAAATCCTGTGCTGAGCCTCAGCCCAGCTTCCTGCTGCGCGTCACGGCGTCCCGCTCGCGCCCGGGTCCTGCCTGCCGCGGGACAAAGTCGGGGGAGGAGACGGCGCCTGAGCCAGGGTACGGCCCTCTTCCAGGGAGTCCGCGACCCCGCACCTCTTCCGGACAGTCCTTCGCGAAGACCCTTCTTGCGGGTCTAGGCTCGGGCGGTGCGGGGGAGGCTCGGCCTCCGGGACACTCCTCCTCACTTCCGTGCTTCCCAGGACGAGTGAACTTCTGACATCCTCGTCCTAGGGCCACCTGCGTCCGAGTGTCGGGGGCGGAGCGTTGTAAGGTGTACAGGACAGCGGGGCTCTTGGAGCTTCTGCGGTGGAAAAAAGGAGGTTCTGGACGGCGCCCTGGGACTCGTCCTCACCACACCCCCTCGAATGCTCCTACGGTTTTTTCTTGAGCTAGAAGGGCATAGGAATTGGGGCGTTCTCCGGAGTGGGTGGCTCAGGTCCCAAGGCAGAGCAGAAGGGCCCTGGGAGAGTGTTGAGTTCACAGTCTGCTCGGGTTCTGGTTTGTTACTGCAAGACCCCAGAGGGAGATGCTTAGGAAAGGGGTCAGGGGCCAGTCAAACCTATGATGCACGTGGTGTCTTTGGCATTAACAGTTTCCAGAGTCAGGTAACTTTGATTAAAACTCACGAGTTAGGCAGTTTGTACCTAATGTAGCCTACATAGATTCCCTTTTCACGGGATTACTTGGGTAATTCTGGGAAAATGCCCAAACACTCTTGGCTGGAATAATCGCTAGATAGCCTCCCTTTCCTCTGTTTTGCTTATGGAGACTTGTCCAAATCATGAGGAGGGGTGTGTGTGGATTTCCTTCCCTCGCTTTTACTTAGCGTTTTGAAACTTGTTTCCGGTCTCTCTTTTAATGGTCATTTTGATGGCAGTGGTGAGCTTTTAGAGGCTGAGGGTACCCGACAATGGCGGTTAAGAAGGGCACGGAGCTGGCTAGAACCCGAGGAGCAGGGAACACCCTAATAAGCCAGAGAAATTTTCAACAAGGAACACCTGCCTAGATTGGAGTATGAAAAACCATTGCAAAGCTCCTCTTAATGATTAGCAAGTTTCTTTGCCAATAGGCTTTGCTCCATGGCAAGTCTTCTCAGAGGTGGCTGCACTTTAGGATTGCCCAAGGGAGCTCTTGAAACTCCCCGCGTTAGGCCACACCCCAGCTGGATTACATCAGAAGGCTTCCGGGCGGGGAGGTGAAGTCCCAGGGTCAGAATTTATGTGGCTCCCAGGTGATTCCATTGTGTAGTTGGGTTACAAACAGCTGTGTAAAAATGACCTGCCTCCCAGTGACCTGTTCTGACAGAATCTTGACCCCAAAAGGAAAGTCAAAGGAGATCAGGAAAGGGCCTAAGAGAGCTGAAGAGAGAGCCTTAAGGTCTAGCATCCCATCCTGGCTGCATCTCTGTTATTTTGGTCAAGGCCCTTGACCTTCCATTTCCTCTTCTGCAAAATGAGGGTGTTGGTCCATGTTCCCTAAGGTACTACCGGCCCCGCTGACAGGCACGTGGACACCTAAGCCAAACCAAGACAGAAAGCCTTCTGTCTTATTTCGGTGTCATCGCAGGGGCAGTAATTCGACCTTATCCTTGAGATTTTGGTAATTTATCTGATAATATTTGAACCCAGCAAAGATGGCAAAGAACGTGCTAAGATGCATACCATAGGATTTGCGTGTGTGTGTGTGTGTGCGCGCTGTTTTCTCCTTCAGGTCAGTCAGTGCCTCTCGGTGTTCCGGAGACACTGATTTTTCCTAGCATTACATACCTCTTCTTCCTCGCTCCACTTCTCAACCAACTTTCTTCTGGATAAAGATGATAGAAGCAGATTTGAGCCTTTTGTGTGTGTTGGAACTGGTTTATTGTTCAATTCCTAGTGAGTTTTTCTTGTTGCATTCGGCAGGGCTGCTCTCCACATGTGAGAAGCCTGACGAAACTTGTCATCGAAGGGATAGAGAAGAGTTTAAAGTGGTAGCTGGGTTCTGTATCCTGGCGGAACACAGTCCCCTGTAGAGTTAACCTGGGTGATGGGCAGACGCAGCTAGTCTTGGAACATTGCTTAATGTCCTCACTTAACCACACGGGCATTATTTCTAATCAGTGAATTAAGCAGACCAGAAAGTTGAGGTTATTTAATATCAAGAAGAAATCATTCTATAAACCATAGCCAATGCCAAATGATTTGAACATTGTTTGGAATGTATACATTCTTTAAGCTGTTTTTTAAATCAAAGCCCTCAGTACACAAAAGCATGACTATCCGAGTTACCAGAGCTCTCTGTGTATATATCATAGCCCTAGTAGAAGGAGGGTCTGTGTTCAAGAGTTTCTGGCTCCCTAAGCTGAATTACACCTGAGCCTTATTTCTCCAAAGTCCAAAGAACAATCTTAATGCAAATAAAATTATTTCAAACACCAGCATTTCCCCATTTTTTCTTGCCGAATATCTGCTTTTAAGGGGTTATTTTCCTTTGCTTCTGTTCTAACGGAATTACTAACTGGCAAGATAATTTTCTTTCCCTGTGTAATTGGAAGGTAGTTCATTCTAGGCTCTTCTGAAACTGATTATTTTACTGATATCAATTTCATTTCATCAGCTGAATCCAAATTCATCCCATTGCTCAAATTGCTCCCAGGTAAGGAAGTAGATAATTAATGGTTTAAACCAGTAGGGGTTATCAACTGCTTAATGATTTCTACAACCCATCTGTGGCAAGCCACTGTAAAAATAAACAAGGTTGTTGGAGAAGGTTGTGGCTAGATCAGCACAAGTCGATTACTATGGCTTAATAATGTCACTTAGTAGCAGTTCATGTTCTTTTGGTGGTGTATCAGTGATAGCTCATTCAAACATTAAAATGGAACATTTTCACTTACTGTGGTATTCTAAATTGCATCCTTGTTAGGAATTCAGTAATGAAGTAAATAGTTACAGGTGGGTAGAAAGAATTTGTGCCTTTAAGAGCAGCTGATTTTCAACTAAAGACTTGAAAGTCTTTCTTGTCTTTTTTGTTATCCTCTTGTAGTTCTTGCTCTTGTTTTATTTTTATTTACATTTTTTACCAGGATGATTCTGCATGGTTAAAAAACAAAACAAAACAAAACACAACACAACCAATACAGGCTTATAAGAAAACACAGCAAATTCTTATTCTACTCTTTCTCCTCACCTCAGATCTCATGGCCCCAAAGTGACTTTTTTGTTAGGTTTGTATTATTTTGAGTTATCATTAACATACAATAAACTGCACACACTTAAAGTATGCAATTTTAAGTTCTGACATATGTATACACCCATGACATCATCACCCCAAGGGGTCCTCATTATCTTTTGCAATCCCTCTGTGCCACCCTTTCTCATACCCAAAATCACCAGGCAAACTGTGATGTGGTTTGTGTAAATATGGATTAGTTTGCATTTTCTAGAATTTTATGCTAATGTAATCATACAGTAGCAACCCTCTCCCCCACTTCTCTTGACCTGGCTTTTTTGCACTCAGTCTAATGATCTGGAGATTGTCCATGCTGTAGCAGGTATCAGTAATGTGTTCCTACATGGTGCTAAGTTGCATATATATACCATAGTTTGTCACCCAAAGGCTTTTGCCTGCAGTTGGGCAATGTGTTTCCAATTTTTAGCTGTCACAAAATTGTTATGAAGATTCGTATGCAAGTCTTTGTTTGGACCTGTGCTTTCATCTGTCTTAGGTAGATACCTAGGGATGGAACGGCTGAACTATTGGTGGGTGTATGTTTAGGTTTTTAGGAAAATGTCAGTTTTGCAGAAGGTTGTACCATTTTCCATTCTTACTAGCACTATGCACAAGTTCCAGTTTCTCTGCATCCTTGCCAACACCTGGTGAGGTCAGTCTTGCATTTTAGTTATGCAAGAAGGTATCGTAGGAGCTTGGGTTTGAATTTGCAGTTCCCGAATGATAAATGATGATGAACATTTTCTCATGGGTTTATTTAAAATCCATGTATCTTCTCTGGTAAAATTTCTATTCGACCATTTTGCTCATTTCTTACTGTGTTGTTTCACACTGAATTCTGAGAGTTGTTTATATATTGTGGCTATCAGTCTTTTATCAGTGAATTATTTGCAGATATTCTCTCCCAGTCTGTGGCTTGTCTTTGTTTTCTTTCTTGACTGTGTTTTTGATGAGTGGAAGTTTTAATTTTGATGAAGCTGAAGTTATTACATTGTGTCTTTGTAGATTACATGTTTCCTCTTGTTTTAAAGAAATACTAGCTTAACCTAAGGTCATAGAGGTTTTACCCCAGGAATCTGTGGTTTTATGTCTTACATTAGTTCTGCGTTCCATTTTGAGTTAATTTTTGTAAGCGGTACAAGATGACCCAAGTTCACTTTTTTTTTTTTTTGTCTATGTCTTTTCAATTGTTCTAGCATGATTTTTAAAAAACTTACTTATTTTAGAGAGAGAGAATGAGTGTGCACAGGTGGGAGGGTGGGGCAGAAGGAGAGAATCTCAAGCGACTGCTGCTGAGTGCAGAACCGACTTGGGGCTCCATCTCAGCACCCTGAGATCATGACCTTTGTGGACATGAAGAGTCAGCTGCTAAACTGACTGAGCCACCCAGATGCCGCTCTAGCATGATATTTTTCAAAGCCTTTCCTTTCTCCACGAAATTGCCTTTGCAGTTCTCTGGAAAATCAGTTGTCCATATATGAGCAGGTCTGTCTTTTGGATTCTCTATTCTGGGGAACTATGTCTTTCTTGCCATGCTAGTACGACACT